AAAGAATTAATTGCGGCGGTGAAGCCGTCAGGTGAAGCCGTGCTCGCAGCCGCGCCTGTCCCGCCACTGCTGAGTGCGGGAGGCGGGTTCCCGGGTTTGTGGTTCAACTTGGGGGGCGCTGGGTTTGGCCCCGCTTTCCTGAAAATCCGGGAGGTCTCCCAGAGTCACCGGGGCTTTGGGAGGAGGCAGCGGAGAACAAAGTCTTTGCCCTGCAAGAAATAGTCTGACCTTTTTCAGAATTTAGTGTGTCCTTGTTTTTTTTTTTTTTTTTTATCTCGTTGTAATCCGTGCCTTTCAGCTTAGTGCCCACGCTATGTCTCCTATGTATAATTTTGTTTGAGAAGCAGCATTCCCTCGTAGCTTTTTGTCTTGTCTTTCAGGGAGGGAGTTGCTTTCCGGTAATAGTAAAGGAACGTGATACTGACTGAAAACGCACCAACAGCATCCTCGTTAGTCGGAGGCTGTCTCTTTCTGCTTAATGTTGGTTTCTTTGTCATCAGGTCTGCTGAAAAATGACAGAATATAAACTTGTTGTCGTTGGAGCTGGTGGTGTAGGCAAGAGCGCCTTGACAATACAGCTAATTCAGAATCACTTTGTGGATGAATATGACCCTACAATAGAGGTAAACAATTTCATCTTATACTTTTTGTTAAGAGAGATTATCAGTAATAATGGTAGTATACTTTTTGGACAATTACTGTGAAAACATAGAATGATAACAAAATAAGCTCAAAGATAATGGTCAGCATCAGACCAGCATTGGAGAGGAAATCACTGTGCTTCTTGATCTGCCTGTGGAACAATAGCTGCAGTAAAAAATTAATGATGTTGATCAATAAGTGTGGTGTTAATTGCCATGTTTTGTTGGACAGTTTGGATGCATGTTTTTAGCATCTCTGTGACAAAGTATTTGCCAAATTTACTTGAAAATGCTTGGCAAAACTTCATGGCTTTACGTGCAACTTTTTAAATGTGGCTTTCCTTTTTGATATCAAGAGGGAAAATTTGTAGTTCTGAAGTGTATGTGTCAAGCTTTCTCAGCTCTTATCATTAGGATCTGTTTCACACAGTGAGAAATGTGTCCTGGAATGTTATGGTGACTGAAGCAAAAATTTGGAGCCTGATTTTAATGGTGTGTTTTGTTTAGTTGTTTGGGATGTTTTTGGTGTTTTGTTTTGTTTTTTAAAAAAACACACTAGTGCATGTTTCCATGTCTAGAAAAAAAAGTTATAAGACAGCTGCTCTAGTGGATTGTTTGAAATGCATGGCACAGTTCCTCAAAATCTGAAATTGTATTTAAGCTTTAAAATTTGCAGTATTTTAACGTGTTTTTTTTTCTTTTAATGAGCAGGCAAGCTCTGACTTTTAAAGACAAGAGAAATACTAGTGTTGTCTGAAATCTCCTGTGGATCATTTGATTTAATAACCTCAGACTGCATAAAAGGAGAAATGACACTGTAATTTACCCAGGATTTTTACGTTCCCAACACTGAAGCTCTGTAGCTTATGGCTTCATTTATGTGTTTATAGAAAAAGGCACTTCCAAGCTCACATGAAGGAATGACAACGGTTTAAATCTAGGCTTAAAATGGTGACTTGGAAATGGCTAAGTAGTCATTTTCAGGTAGACATAAGTGAGAGGAGCCAGTGCCCTGAGATGGTAGGAAGCTGGCTGTCTTTAGCGAAGTACAGGCCTGAGTTAATGTGCCCCAAATAGAGATGTGTTGGCTTGAGTTTACCTCAATGTGCCTGTGTGTCTTCTTGTCTCTCTGTGGCATGGCAGGGTAACCTCCTGTGTGCTTGTAGAAGAGTCTGTGAATTAGACCTATGGAGAGAGGAAGAGTGTTTGACTTGCTCTAGGAGAGTGGCTCTTTCAGTTACTAAGATGTGAAATCTGAAAACAACAACAACCCAAAACATGCTTAGAAACCAGAAAATACACAAAACTCATTGAGAGGAACAAGCAAAATGGGATTTTACTTTTTCCTGCAAAAGGAACTTTGGAGGATGTTGGTCTTTGACATACTTGTTCGTAATCATTGTTTTTTTTCTTAAGTTAGAGGTGTGTTTATGTGTTACAAAAAGTATTGTGGGGTTGCTGTGTTAGAAGTTGTCATGTAGAGCCAGCACTGTGTAAACAATTTAGGAACACAAAAACTTAAGTGCTGGTATTCCTGAATCCCTTGAGGGATTTTGGTAGTCAGCAAGCAGATTATTTTGAGGAATACCAAATACATTTTAATGTAAAATAATAAAATGAAAATAGAGTTCCTCTGAGAAAGAACCTCAAATCCCAGAACTGTGGCTTTTATTCTGTAACATGCAAGGTGACTGTAATGCTGTGGTGCGGTCCAGTATCAGTATGTTCTTCTGAAAGAAAGAAACCCTTAACCTGATGGGTTTTACCAGCATCCACAGCTTGTTGTGTGCAACAGTATTAACCTTCTGCAACTCCTGCAAGCTCTTGTCTGAGTACTACTTACTGGTTTTGTCTTGTAAATTCTGAGACCTTGAGGATGGAAACTGTATCTTCCCACTTGGGGTAAATCACCTTGTGTGTGCTCACAGTGCTATAATCGTGTAGGCAGGGGAGAAGTAATTCAATTGTGATTTGGAGGGGCAAACAGGTTCCAGAGAATGGCCTTGTAACTGGGTTTAAATGCTTCAGTCCTTGCCTGGGCAGGATCCCATGCAGTTGAGAAGGGTTGCTTGATTGTGCTTCCTGTATAGATGCAGTTGTGGTGGTAGGGGCTGATCAAAGAACAATAGCTGTGGAGTGGGTTTTATGCAGTATGAGGAAATAAGGCTAAAGTTGCTCTGACTGGTAAATAATAACAGTTAAGGCGGTTCAGTAGTGTCATTACTATTGTTTCTCATTACTGTTTCTTTCATTGCTGTATGGCTGTTGTCAAAATACTCATTTTCCCTTGCAGATAAAAATCAAGCTAAATATTTTGGGGTAGAGAGAGAAAAGACTTCAGTGTTCATTAGCTATAGTGGATTCCATAACTACACAGTTATTGGATAATTTTAAATCTTTCCTGTGATTAACAAAGTAAAACTCAACGCCTCTGAAATTCTCATGTTGTGAAGGCATGATGCAGCTGAAGAGAGGAAAAAGATGCTAGTTACTTAATCACAGATGCACGTCCAGTGTTAATGAGGTTGCTATTTTGAGTGGAATAGACTTAATGATTCAACACAACTTGTTTGGAACATGTCAAGTTTCATGGCCTGCTTGAGTATTTTACTTACATCTGAGCATAGCAAGGAGAGGAATTAAAATTAGTGCCTGTTTGGGTGGCTACTGTTGTTCAAATATGTATCCTTCATATGTGTTTCACGATTTCATATCTTACTTGAACTAGATGTCCAAGCAGAGATTTATAGCCCAGTAATTTTAAGTGGTTTTTTAACTGTATGTACACTAACCCTTGTAAATCTGGCCTGATACAACAGAACAGTTGGACTATTGCCCTCTGCTGGTCGAGGTTTGCTTTATTCGTGATACTTCGCGTGATAATTTTTAAATTTTTAATGTTAATTTTTTTTACAGCTTCAGCATGTTTTAGTGCTAAATATATGCTGTCTTCTAAATGTCCTAGATAAAGAAGAGCTTTCTTAATTGCTTGTCAGAGGTTTTTCAATTGGATTAGCAAAATCCCTCGTCTGATTTAGGAATACTGATATTTAAGACTGTGTTCTTAAATGATCTATGCACCTGTGAAACTTCCACCAATATTGTGGCAATAGCTTAGTCTTAGTAGCTGTGATATTTTAACATTGAATCACTGGTATAATTTTTTTTTTTTACAAAATAATAGTTACTTGCTTAGATGGGATTGATTAAGCAGTGGGGGTTTTTCTTTTAGGTAAATTCCATATGTAGCGTATAGCTGAGATTTCCTATCACATTTTCTTATCCGTTCTTGTGAACAGATGGAATTATTACTCCTTTAGCATAATTAATGCTTATTTTTATGGCTTGTGAAAGGCCAATAAAAGCAGGTTAAGTGATTCATGAAATAAAAACTTTTTTAATAGATGTGCTGGATCTGTATATTGGGGGAAAATTGCAAATTCATATTTGGAGTCAGGCACTATTTTGAAATTAGCTTCTAGTTTGCATTTTGTTTTTACTTAGTAGCCTTAGATTGGATGTTTCTTCATTGCATTCATTACTACAAATCTTCCAAAGTGCAGTAAAGCTACTGGGTTTTTATAAATGATGAAACTTATAGATTGGAATGTTGGGTTTTTCTGTTGCTGAAAGGGAGTCTGGCCATTTTGTTTCTGCAGCACTTCTGCTTCAACATGCAATTGCAAGTACTATAGTGGCATAACTTTTTGTTACGTCCTACATTTTGTTTTGCAGAACTTGATAATTTTTACAGTACGGTAACTTCAATAAACAAATTTTATCTTGAGTGTGTTTACACTGGTAGCGGGTGGGGGTCCCAGTAGCTTGAGCTTTTAATGTGGCGCATCAGTTTTCTTTCCTACAGTGACAAATGTGACTTTGGGTTTGATATTTTGCAGGGGAGGGGGGGAGGGGAAGGCAAAAAAGCAAAATGTCTATTATTTCAGTAGCTTGGAAGGAAATAATAAGCTTGAATTTTCTCTCCGTGTCTTTTTTTTTTCCCCTTCTGCTTCAAATCCCCTTTCTAGTTAGTGACAAAATTTTCTCTCCAAAAGTGGCCACAACAGGTATCATCTCAAAGCGTCCCTCCTTTTTGTATCTGTGCTGTGCTTTATGATGGTGCATCTTTGCTGCTCCTGCTAACATGGTAGGCATGCTAAAGCCAGCAGTTCTTAAAAGTGATTTTCTTTTATCTTAAAAATCATTTCCTTTGATGAAAATTACTTAAAGCTTTTGTTTGCAGCTCAGTTGAGGGGGATTTCTTTTCCTTTGAAGGAAGGAAAGAGAAAGAAATATTCTTCAAAGGAAATGTTACAGGCTTTTCATAGGAAAAGGCTTGAAACATATGAACAGGCTTGAAAAGCTATACAGGCTTTTCAAGAACTGTTTTTCATATTTTTAAACTAGCAGTCAAATTGCAAGAAGAGAACTAGAAAGCTTTGTAAATATGCCTAGTATAATGATAGTACCTGTGAACTGTGAACTTCATCTATCCACTAGATATTCAACTATCACTTCACTGTGAACTCTGTGGTAAAGGTATCATAGGACATGAGGGATCTGCTATTGAATGTAAGTGAATTGGAATAGAGATGCGTCCTTTGGGGGTGGTTTTGGTGGGTTTTTTCCTTTAAGCAATGAGAAAGAGTATTAACCTCACTTTAAAACCCGTTGGAGCTTGTGTATTTGCCTCGGCTGTGTCACTATTCAAGAATGACTTACATGTTTCTAGAGCAAGTTACCTACTTCTCACTTGAACACTAGATTTGCATTTCTGTGAAATAAATATTTCCAAAATCATGTTGGAGGTAAACTTTTATCTTTAAGGTAAACAGTCAATAGTGTTTTACCTGATACTGTTAAATGTCATCCAGGCTTAAGGTAAATTTGATGTTACAGAGTTTTAGTCTAAGATACTGATTCTATACAATTATCTCCCACTTGTTTTTTAGCACGAGCAACAGGAAAGAAGAAAGCCTTTAGTAAAAATACAAATAGATAGAAAGTGCACAGGAGCAGGTGTGCTGCGCCTGAAAGCGGGTACAAAGGAAGGAAGGTCATTCTGAATTCATCTTGAAGTTGGCTAGAATCGCAACTTTTAATTCCCTTCCCAGTAGCTTAGGTTCACTCCTGCATAGCGTTAAAAAGAACAGGAGCAATATTGCCTTAACTCTCTAGCTAAGGGATCTGAAAGGTAATACCAAGTTTCTGTGTTTATACCTTTTATTTGTTACAAGTACTGTTTACTGAGGATAATTCATGGCACTGCTTGATGACCTATTTTTAAAACTTATTGATATGGTTTTATTTCAAATATATAGATGTTTATAGAAGTTATTTGGGACAGTAATGTTTATGTTCTTATCGCTGAAAATCTGCACTCATAGAAACCTAGCACCAAAAAGAGCTGTAAGTAGACATTAATATCTAGTTGCTTGGGACTTTGTGCAGATTTTAGCCACTTGAATCAGTGACCTGAAAACTCTGATAGCATTGAAATAATTTGTTCCAACATCTCTGTGAACCAACCCATCGGAGCTTTTATATGACTCTGTTGGCATGTCTTGGCTAAAAGGCTTGAACTTCAAATATATCAACTCAACTTTGATAACTTAATAACAAATATCATTATATGCGCCTGCTTAGGCATACAAAACAGGTTTTCTGTCCCAAACACTGAAGGCTTTTTATACTTCATTTCCTTTTCAGTGGCATAGTTTTTTGCCCTTATCTTACTGGTGTACTCTTTCTATTTTGTTCATTGTCGTGGCACAATACTTTTGTAAATGTCCATGGAATGAAGGTAAAATTTTACTTCTAAACAAAATTCGGTAAATCGAGTAAGCTTAAACAAAGTCAAGCCTTTTAAAATCAGGATTACAGGTTTCTTCAATTCCTCTATTAACGGAGACAAAGGAGAGGTGCTTCTGATCTGGATCCAATTTGTACTTTTTGTCCTTTTGTGCAAAAGAAGAAATAAGAACACTGCCCTTTTTCTGCGTGTGTGCACACAGGTGCTGTTACTGAAGATTCAGAATACCGATAAGAATATGTCCTTTTAGCGTTCTTTCCACTTCTGGGTTACTGTATACATGTAAATATGGGACACTACTTTCCTACAGTCATTTCCCCGTCCATAAAGTTGGATTTTAACTCTTAAGTGTTTTCAGTTATACTCGATTACTAGTAAGCAAGTTCAATATTTCCTGAGTTATAGGTGTTTAAAATCTTACTTGTTTATGTTTAACTAAGGTTTATGTTTTTTTCTCTTCTTAGGATTCCTACAGGAAGCAAGTAGTAATTGATGGAGAAACCTGTCTCTTGGATATTCTTGATACAGCAGGTCAAGAAGAATACAGTGCAATGAGGGACCAATATATGAGAACAGGGGAAGGCTTCCTGTGTGTATTTGCTATAAACAATACAAAGTCTTTTGAAGATATCCACCATTATAGGTGTGCATATTGAAATATACTTGACTAACTCTTGTATTGGGTGAATATGTCCCTTGCTTTTCCACTAGGTAATAGGATGATCTCTTATGAAATAGTGTCTAAGGGGAAATTTGCAACTTAGCAATATTGCAACGTACCTGTGCGTTTGTATGTCTGGAATTCTGGGTAATCTGAAAGTCTGCTGCCTCGTTTGCAAGTTAGGCAGACAAAATATCTGAAAGCTCTTCTGGTATAACCTGATATGACTTAGTATTTCTGCCTGTTCATAGTGAAGCCTTATCTAAAGGTCAGCGCTGCCCATTTGATAGGTATAATTGTGTGCTAAGATGGAAAAACTTATGCGGTTGAAATTGTACAACCAATAATGTCAATTGTTAGTTTTTGTTCTGGGGGTGGAGGGGAAATACCTGTAGAATGTTACTAGAAGAGTAACATGTGTGAGCCATGATGCTTAAGGAGGGCAGACAAATGCAAAATCAGAGCTCCAGGATGACTGCTAAAACCCAACCTGTTTCTAGTTTCTTCACATTCTGTATTTTTTTTATTAGCTAAGAATTTCAACTCCTGCTTTCTTTGTCAGCTAAACTAATATGGAAATAGAAGCAGTCTCTGGTGATTACCTTACCAGATTGTTGATCACTTAGTAGCGTACCATTAGCCTGAATTCTCCTTGGGTATTGTGTTAGAAGGCAATGCAAATCCCACCAAAGATCAGAGTTCAGCAGCATCAGTTTAAGATTAGTCCCAAACACATAATGTTAAGCTGTTCATACTTAGGTGTTTATAATGCCGTCGGGTCTGTGTTGCAGTGTGAGGAGTGTTTTGTTTTCAGTATTGCCCACAAACCCAACATCCACTCGTAAGCTGAAGCTGCACATTTCTGTTATGAATAGAAGTTCCAGTTCCTCATTTAAGGTGAGGTACCCTGATGACAGTTCAAGGTAGTCGAAGTCAGCGGGTGTGACTGCCCTGATCACATAGTTTTTCTCCTGTACGCCAGCAAATCAGCTCATTTGATTGTGTGGCGTGCTGGGTAGCTAAGCAGGTAGATGTGCCTGCCTACAGAAATGGCTTACTGCTGGCTTATCTCCCTGCAGCACCTGCAGGATCAGGGGAGTACTGTTGCAAATGAGAGGGGCAAAACTGCTGCACACTAACCCAGGGAGAGATCAGGGTGGAGAATGTGGGCACTTTCAGGACTGTGTCTTTTTTATATTTAAATGGAGCTAGCCAGCCATTGTATAAATTTCATTATATATAAAAAGCTCTAATTGAATGGATTTGCATTGGTGGCTTAAAAAATAAATGGAACAGTAAAGAGTGAGCACAGCAGGGATGACGAATTTAAAAAATATAGAAAAAAACATACATTAGAAAACCCATAAATTTCTCTTCATTATCTAACCAGATTATTACAAATGGGTTTCCTTTGATTGTAGAGGAAGGAGGGAAGAGGTAAGATAGATGATGTGAGGGGAAGAAGGGGCATAGAGGTTTTTATGTGGAATTTTTGTTTTTAAAGAGAGGGTTGCAGATTTGCATAAGGCCTTCCCGGTTTATTTCAAAGAATGTTGTGAGTTGAATGCTGGAGTTTCTGCTGTGCGTTCACACACCTGTGGATGACCTTGCAGACTGAAGCTGAAGACTTATTTATAAGTAACTGAAAACAGTGACTATATTGATTAAGGAACATACTGCTAGATTATTTGGGAAGGCAAAAGTAATGAAATGAATGATTGTTATTTGACGTTCTTGACAAGTACATTTAACTAATAGTTCAAGATACTTTCTAACTAGTGTTTGACTCTTTTACCAAATATTTCTTTGTAGAGAATCAGACCAGTGGTCTTCAAAGTTTAAAAACCCCTATCTAAATGCAGAGTTTGTAATGCTGTCTTGAATTAAAAAAAAAAAAAAAGCAACAAAAAAACCTGTCCCAAAACCAAACCAAAATCGAGACCACAGGCATAGTTACCTTAGCAAATGAATTGAGTATTACGAGTGCTGAGTATGAGATATAAGTAGTAAGATTTGTACCAGAGCTTCTCAGGTTTGTTCTAGCATTAGCTGTTAAAAACTTTTTTAAAAAAAAAAAAGTGTAATGACCTCAAAATCTATAGTAGTTTGTGAAATGTCAACCTTTTTTTTTTTTTCCTTTTTTCTTTATTTTTAATATGATAAACTTGATTGTGACAGGATTGGTGAATTTATTTTTTGGTGGCTTCTAGTAGTGTATGTGCAGTAAATTAACATAAAGAATGATGTTGGAATCTGTTAAATTTTTTCGTTGCTTTAAAATCTACCATATGAACTATTAATATTGAAACCTGTTAAATACAATCTGTCTTTTTTTTTTTTTCTCCCTTTTAGGGAACAAATAAAGAGAGTTAAAGACTCTGAAGATGTCCCAATGGTGCTAGTAGGAAACAAATGTGATTTGCCTTCCAGGACAGTAGATACAAAACAAGCTCAGGATTTAGCAAGAAGTTATGGAATTCCTTTCATTGAAACATCAGCAAAGACAAGACAGGTAAAGCTCAAAACTTAGCAGATACAGATGCAGAACTTGCATCTGAATTATCATAATGTTGATTACTCTAGGCATTGACAGTTGCTTGGTCATAGCAATAGATATGTTTCTCCAGAGCAGAAATTCTTGTGGTGTCTCTTCTCTCTGTCAACTCACTGGCAACTGGTAATTGTTTATTAATGAGTGGTTCGCTTCAGTTGTGCAAACTCAAAGAATGAGACCTGGCCTGCTATTACTGTCAGATGGTTGCAGCATTCTTATGTTGTGATAGGTTTTTATAGAATAAAAAGCATTTCTACTTAGAGGTGAAATGCTTTTTTTCCTCAGCGAGAGGATTAAGCAGACAAACAGCTAACTAGTTTATTTTGTTTTAAATCTTTTTAATTACAAAAGGAATTTTTCTTTGAGGCATTGATTCAGTGTTAGTGGGACATGCTTGATAGATCTTTTTATAGCTAAGCAATTGACCATAAGTCTTTTTTGAAATTACTGGATTAATTGCTTGTGTAAACTGATAGTCTTCTAAGACTTCAGAGCTCACTGTTGGTTTATTCTACCCCACCAGTATAGGTGAGAGGCAGCCATTAGGGTCCTTTCAGTGCTTCTTTCAGGCTTTGCTAGGACAAAGGTGCTCATAGTGGTATCTCTGTGCATTCAGGAGAAGATCAGCTATATAGAGGTGAAACTGGTTCTGTATTTCCAGAGAAAGCATTCTTTTGAAAAATGCTGATTTGTGGGTTTTTAAGAGTAAAGACTTACTAGCAGTACAAATTAGATCAGGCCTGAGTGGCCAGATATCTCGTACTCTGCATAATCAGAACTGTTGTGTGCAAGTTATGAACTAGGAATGAGGTGTAGCAAAAGGAGGCAAATAAGAGCAGAATACTGCAATTTGAGTAACTGCTCAGTGTAACTGCTGAATAGATTCAGCTGCATCACTTGGCAGAATTTCCTCATAGACAGTATGTAAGTTATTTTTGGATGTAAGAAATTAATATTTTATTAGTGCAAATTTTGCTACACCCACCCAGGTTTCTGACAATTTGAAACCTGGACTAATTAGTAAAACTTTACAGAGGAATGAAAGGAATGCTGACTTCTGGCAATAGAGAAAGTCTTTGTTAGGTAGGATTAAAAAACCAGAACTATGCAACTTCAATGGCCGAGAATAAATTAGGCCACAAGAGTGTTCAGAAGAACGTGGCATATAACTGGACTGAATAATTACAGTGTCCTTGTTTGGAAGGTGCTGTATTAGTGGCTGTCATTCTGATGTTAGGATAAAAAATGAAGAGCTGTGAAATTGCATTTGAGGTTTGAAATAATAGAAGTTCTGTACTGACATCTAGACTTTATTCAGCCTGTTTTATAGAGCGTCAGACTTTGTTGAGGAAAAACTCCTTTTTGCATAGCCACTTTTAAAAAGTATGTTGATATGGTGGTGTATTTTCAAAGATTTCTTCTCCCCACCCTGCCTGCAGTTTAATCCTACAAGCAGCCCCACTATGCCTAGCCAATACAAAAATCACGTGCTTAAAAATCACGACTCCAGTTTTATAATCTTTGTTTGCACAAAGTAGCAGCTGCTACTTTATCTTTCAGATTTTAAGAGGTCTGCCAGGGGTTTGTACTTGTTTCTGAGGACAATGGATCAGTCCTATATAACTGTCATTCTGTAATTTGACTGCTTTTATCTGTGACTATATCTCTGGAGGTGCTAACTGAAATGTTACAGAAGGGATCTGACTCTTGGCTTTTATTTTTCAAAGCTGAGCTTTACACCCCCTGCAGATAAGAAATCCCTAAAGGTAGCTCATGGATTTTAAAATGAAGGTACCCCATAGACTCATTTGAGAATGTTGGCTTCTAAAAATTGGAACTGCTAGGTATGGTTGCTGATTCTTTGGCAGTGCTGTTCATAACATGTTGTGTTATGAAACTGTTTTATAAGATGCTGTGTTAAAATATTTTTGACAAGACAAAAAGGAATTGGAGGAAAAACCTGATCTTTAATTACAGCAAGATCATCTAAATATTCATGTATGTGTTTATATATATGTGTGTGTGTATACATATGCATTTATGTATTATGATTTTTCAGTCACATATAAAAAAATACATGCATAGATATACACCTTCTTCCAAAGTAACTTTTTTTAATTAGGGGATTAAAATCATTTGGTGAGCTGCTTGTGGCCCATGAAGTGTATTTTTATGAGGCAGAATTCAGTCCTTGTCTAAAAACAAAGAAAATATAGAAATAAATCTGGTCCTCTGTGGTTACATGCAGAACTTCCAAGTATGAATAGATGTAGCTGGTGGCCTGGTAACTTCTGGAGTCTGTAGAAAGTCTGACATGAATATTTAGAAGTAGGAACCTTCTTTTCCTTTCCTGTACACTTCTCCCACCACACTGAAATGTCAGCACTAACGCCCTGTTGAAGGGGCCCTCACCATCTTGCTTCAGCCCTTCCCTGTGCTCCACTTCTGCTGGAGCTCAGAGAGAATCAGAAGGGTTTCTGGGGAAGGAAAAAGGGGAGATGGAAAAGAAAGAGGTGTCCATGTCTGTTTTCACTTCCAAGATACTTTTTTAAAAATGATGCTCATGCAGAGTATCTCAGTTCCAACTAAGTCAGTTTTTAAGATTTTCAAAAACAGGAAAGAGAACAACACTGAAATGAAGTGCAGAAATAAGTTGTTCTAAAAGTTAGTGTAGTTGTTTTTTATTTGGTTCTGACTGGCAATAAAGATGTAAATTTTAACTTACTGCAGAAAAGTCACATGTTAAGCCAAATCTCTGTGTGAATTTTCATACAAATCACTGAGCTCATCAGTGAAACATTCGCTTAGTGGACCCTGCAACTTGGGTGTAAGGCTGTAGATTATGTTCATTTCAGTCAGTGGTCTAATTAAAAAAAAAGTAATTTATGAAAAATAGCAATAGTGCTATTTCTAAATGTAAACACGTGTCAATATGGGTGGTTTTGTAAGGCATGTTGCATCACTTACACTCATCTTTTCACAATCCTTACGCAGAAGGGTGAATTTCTTAGGTTTATGTTAATAGCTGGTTTTGCTTTTCTGTTTGACATAAGCTTTAAATTCAAATTCTTCCCTGGCCACATGAGCATAAAGCTCCCAGTCGCATCAACGAGAGATGAGGGGCCAACTTGATTTGTGCCCACCAAGGCTGCATCCTGTATTCTTTACTGGGCTTCCATTTGCCTGTGAGTTACACAAGGAAAAGCTGTAAGGCTGTACCCCAGATGTGGTTTGACTGTAGGATTTTGTTTTCCTTGGAACATTTCAGCTGTCCTGCTAGCACTGAATTCAAAGGAAAAGCAGATACATATAAGCATAGTAAAGGATTCCCTAAAGTGTTAGATCTCGTTGAGAATATCTACTTAAACACATTTTTAAAGTGTTTAATGAAGAACTTGACCTAAATCACAAGGATGCTGTTAAAAAAATAAAAAGGCAAGCATTATAGATATTTCAGCTGTCTGATGTACAATAGGTTGGGCCCCAAACCTGTGACAGAAAAGTTCAGAACCTGTGGCTGCTCTGATGCAGTAATTGGTGCAGTTGCAAGGTGAAACTTCCAAAAAAACTTAGTCCTACCCAAGAACAAAGCCCCGGGGCAGGGGGTGGGGCAGTGTCGGGGGGGAAGTTCTGATTATGTTGAAACAAATTCTAGCACCCAGCTTGTGTGCTGAATGACTCCAGGATGCTGAGGAAACAGGTTTGTTTTTTACCTAACATAAATATGTGCAGCAAAAAAGGGTACATATGCACAAGGAGTGAAATTCAGGTAGGGCTGACAGCTGTAATTCTGGCCCTTCTTAACTTTAGAGTGATTAACTTTGTAACTTTAATCATGATTTTGTGCAGTATTTAATATGAACTTATGTATGTGTGGTATTTGACCATCATAAGGTAATAACATGATTGTCTTAATGCCGCCTCCCTCTTCAAACTACGGAATCATAGAATAATTTTGATTTTTATTTGTCTAAGAGTTGGTTTGAGAAGACCAGTTCTGATAAAGCATATAAAGGTGGACACAGAACACACTTGATGTCAAGGCTAACTTTTCATTAGTTTCCTTCAAGAGATATTTACAGAAGCGGAACATGTGAAAATTCCTGTTTGTCCTATGGTCAGTATTTGAAATAGTCTTTCTTTGCACATAGTCATATTTTAAATTGAATGTTTGGCTGTCTCCTAGGAGTCAGAAGCGTCTTGAAAACACTGCCTCAAGGTCATGGGTTCTTTGGGCTGTTTAGATTTTGAAGTTTTTAGTATCTGCCAAAGGATATTTATGCTTCCAGTTCTGACAGCTAAAAGAGCTGGTTAATCATATTTTAGATCTATGGGCCGTGCTCATTTAAGGGAAAAAATACTGAAGAATATTAAAAGAAATTTGTATTAAAATGACTTCTTAAGTTTATAAGGCTGGTGCCAGGCTCTTTAAAATGTCACCTTGTGCTAATGGCATTAGGAAATGTGGCTTTATGCAGATTTTTCTTTCAGAATAATTGCTTTC